ACTTCCCCCTTTGAAAGCAAAGAAGATTCAGAGGGTTTGGACAGTGACAAAGATTTTGTTGTTGCTGTGCAGATTCTCAAACTGCATGCCAGGGTGTGGAGGAACTCGCCTGCGATATACACAAATTTTATAATAACAATTCTTAATTGTATTAATTAATTTTATATTTAATTTACTTAGTATTTTTTATTAATCTTTTCATTTTGATAACATTAATCATTTTAATTCTTGCTAAAAGTCGTAATTATATATAAATAAGCATACTTCAAATGTTTTGCTCTATCTTATTTAAACACGAGACACCTAAATTTATACAGGTCATGCCGTAAAACTAAAGGAACAATATGAAAAGTTTATAATTGCAATATATGTGTTTAGTTTTGAGTCTTTTGTACTCTAAATTTTTTTTTTTTTTATGTTTTATCAATGATATTTAATTACAAAAGGTAGTTTTAACTATATATAAAAAAGATATAAATTATAAATTAACTAAATACTATAATTTACGATAAACATAAAAAGAAGTACAGATATAAAGAAAAATTCTTCTTAAACAAATTAAGTTTATTATTGGGAAAGAGATACTATGTATCTTTATTAATTAAAAAGTAAAAAAATAATGAAATAAGTGATTAATTAATTTAAAACTTATTGAAAGTTAAATAAAGAAAATAAAAATTAAATAAAAATAATAAAAGAGAAGGACAATAAGAGATAGTAATTTAAAAACTGTTTATAAGGATAAAATAGTCTAAATATTTATATATAAACAAACTTTTATATATCTATACTTATTATAAAGAAGATATAATAAAAGATATATAGTGTATAATTATTTTTTATTTTCACTTTTCAATGGAGTATTATGTTCTTTAATTTTTAAAGAAAAAAATTGTATTCTTTAAATAACAACCTATAACTATCAATTTAATTTAATTTATAAAAATTTTAAAAATTATGAAGTATGAAGTACTTTTTTTCTTCGCTAATATAATTACAAATAAAATACTCATAGCAAAACGAGAAAAACAAGCTCACGTTTACAACCATTCAACGTTTAAACGTTATAAAGCAGCAACCCAAAGTCAAAATTAGTCGCTACAAATAAAACTAGCATTATTCAAAGAAAATTATAGGAGTGTTTAACTAATTACGTGGATTAAAATCAATTTAGTTCAATATATTTATTAAACAATGTTTTAATTTGGATCACGACGACAATAACGTAAACATATTTTTTAATGAAGGTGTCAATAATATTTTATTATGAGAAAAATATTAGAAAACTTTTTAAAGAAAAAGTGGTCTTTGAAATGAAAGTTAAATTTGAAAGTCGATTACGTGTAAAATAAATTATTAACATCCTATAACATCGATTAAAAATAGTATTTTTAATATTAAAGCCAGACTTAAAAATTAATTATATATTTAGAACGTGTACTATCCGTACTGCTATGCCGAGTCGCAGGGCGACCTCGGACATGCGCTGGGAAGATCTCGGCCTAGACTAGATTCGCTATCTAATCAGATCATAACTGATCTCAGGCCCAAGGCCCAACGCAACCCTAATTCACACCAAGGTACGGGCATACTTATACGAGACTCAAACTCATACAAACCCTAACTTTAGCATCGGAGTCTCTTTTGCAGGTACCACCCCCAACGTGGAACACCAACGTACCAGCGAGGGAGGCTCACCGACCTTACCCAGCGGATCAACTCTACCTCAGATCCCCGGTAAGAACATTTGGCGCCCACCGTGGGGCCGATCAAGACAACTCTTATCGGGCACACTTATGGTATTCACCCGAAGCCATAGTAGACGCGCAACAGACGACGCAGATCGCACGACAAGCATATACAACGAAGCGGCATTGAGAAGGCTGATCGAACAGGTCGAACAGATGCGACAACAACATGACGTCGATCTGCAAAACATGCGTGCCAAGCACGAAATCGACCTAGCCGCTATGCGGACTGCCAATGAAGCTGATCTAGCGGCACTACGCGCTGAAATCGAGCGAATTCGCACCCAGCTCCCTCGACGCCCCTCTGATCATCCTCCTGAGGCGAGCAACCTCCACGAGGACGAAGGGCATTCGGTCTCTCAGCCCGAACTAGGACTAGGGCACCGACTCCACGACCTGCCACGCATCGGTCTCATGCACCAACGAACAAGTCGACCCATGAACTCAGCAAGGCCCCTACTCATGCCACGGGAGATCAAGCATCCTTTCGCCGTCACCCTTTCGTGGATGGCATCATGGAAACGCCGCTCTCTCACGGATGGAAACCTCTCCACCTCGACCACTACAACGGCACGACGGACCCGGATGAGCACATCGACCTGTATACAACGCAGGTAAACCTCTACACCAATAACAACACTATACTGTGCAGGGTTTTTCCGACCACACTCAAGGGGGCTGCACTCAATTGGTACACCCAGCTCCCCGCTGAGTCAATCGACAGTTTCAGCACTCTAGTCAGGCGATTCACGGTGCAGTATGCAACGAGCTGACCTCATCATATCATGTCAGCCGCCCTGGCCAGCCTCAGACAGAACGACAACGAGCCACTCTGGGCGTTCATGGAACGATTTGCCGCCATCTCGGTAAAGATCCAGAATCTGAACCCTGAGGTCGCTCTACACGCAATGCTCATGGCACTCAAGCCCGGACCGTTCATTGACAGTCTATGTCGTGAAGCTCCTCGCGATATGGACGAGCTGTGCTGCTGGATATATCCAAATGGAGGAACACTCCGCCTTCCGTGACCAAGTTCGCAGAAAATCACAAGCAAAGACTAACAGTGGCAACAAGGACAAGATGAGGGTCACCAACGACAGCCAGTTCAAGAAAACTGCTAGGACAAGTAAGGGGGAGATACGACTTTTACACTCCCCTGAACACGCCCAAAGTTCACATCCTGGAGGAGGTCAATAACAGCAACCTGCTCACCCTACCACTACCAGGTCATACACCCAACAGTGCGGACAAGTCCAAACACTACCGGTACCACAGGAACCACAGTCACACCACTGAAGAGTGTCGCACACTCCGAGCCCGCATAGAGGAGCTCATCCAGGCAGGCCACCTCAGCCAGTACGCCCTACGACAGCAGGGTCACCGAGGAGGCTATGGTGGACGAGGACGAGGCAGAGGTCGTGGTTCAGGAGATCGTACGGACCAACCCTCTAGCTCTCAACAAAACATCAGCGGAGCAGTGCAAGCCGAGGTAAGCCAAGAAACAGGGTCAGCTCCCCTACAGAGAGTAATCAACACAATTGCAGGTGGCTTCGCAGGGGGAGGAGCCAGTAGCTCAGCCCGGAAGAGACACCTGCGCAACATCAACAACATCCACTCCACTACCTCGGCTTCGCACGAGAGCTCACCCCCGATCACCTTCACCGACGACGACTGCGCTGGCGTCAGCCCCAACCAGGATGACCCCATGGTCATCGCCGTTGAAGTTGCTAATTGGGAGGTCCACAAGACCCTGATTGCCCAAGGAAGCTCGACCGACGTCCTGTATTGGCCTACGTTCCTCAGGTTAGACATCCCCACTCTCTCATCCAACCTCACACAGAGCGCCTAGTCAGTTTTGCAGGAGAGCAAGTTCACACTCGGGGGTATGTGGACCTGCTAACAACATTCGGGACCTCCCTAGACACAAGGTAGATTATGGTCCGGTACCTCCTCATGGAAGCCAACACTTCCTACAACATAATCATAGAGAGGCCGACCTTGAATCAACTCGGGGCAGTGGTGTCTACCCCACACCTCACCATGAAATTCTCGGGGAATGGTGGGAAGATTATCTCCGTCAAGGCAAACCAAAAAATAGCCCGGCAATGTTACACCGAGAGCTTGAAGGTCTCCCCTTCCAGCGAGCAGTGCAAGAGCGACCCCCCTACGATGGCTCACATCAACCACGTGGATGTCGGCGATCTCGATCCGAGGTCCGACTTCCATGATGAGCAACCAAGTCCCATCGACGAGCTCGATGACCTCCAGATCGGGAAACTCCCAGGGCAATGCACGAAGATCAGCAGGCAGTTAAGCCCGGAGCTACGACAGCAGCTCGAGGCTGAAGTCCTCAAGAATGCCGACCTCTTTGCCTGGTCTAGTGCTGATATGTCAGGTATTGATGCTAACTTCATCTGTCACAGGTTAGTAATACATAAGGAAGCAAAGCCAGTAGCTCAAAGGAAACGGAAGGTCGGGGGCGAAAGGCGAGAAGCCATTATCACTGAAACCCAGAAGTTACTGAACGCTGGCTTCATCCGTGAGGTCAGATACATCACGTGGCTGGCAAACGTGGTATTGGTAAAAAAGAGCTCGGGAAAATAGCGCATGTGCGTCGACTACACCGACCTGAACAAGGCATGCCCCAAGGATTCATACCCATTGCCGAGTATCGACAGGCTAGTCGACGGGGCATCCAGACACGCCCTCCTCAATTTCCTCGACGCCTACTCCGGGTACAACCAGATCATGATGTACCCACCAGACGAGGTGCACACGTCATTCATCACTGATCACACCAATTAATGCTATCGAGTGATGCCTTTCGGTCTCAAGAACGCGGGGGCCACTTATCAGCGACTGATGGATAAGGTTTTCCATCAGCAGATTGGCCGGAATATGGAGGTCTACGTTGACGACATGGTGGTCAAAACCACCTCAGCCGCGGACCACGTTGCCGACCTTGCCGAGGTGTTCAGCCAAATCAAGAGACACAACATGCGTCTCAACCCAGAGAAGTGCGTCTTCGGCGTCGAGGGAGGTAAGTTCCTCGATTTCATGATCACTAACAGAGGAATTGAGGCTAACCCTGAGAAGTGTAAAGCCATCATCCTGATGCAGAGTCCTCAAATGGTGTAAGAAGTTCAACGCCTAGCCGGAAGGTTGGTCTCACTATCCCGTTTCATCCCTAGACTCGCGGAGAAAGCAGGGCCAATCTTCACTCTTCTATAGAAGCCAAAAGACTTCCAGTGGATGGATCAGTACGAGGAAGCTTTCCGAAGTTTCAAAACTTTTCTCACGACTCCGCCAATCCTGCAAAGATCGGATCACAAAACCGACCTCCTCCTCTACTTGGTAGTGGCAGAAAGCACAATCAGTGCGGTCATAGTGCAGGAGCACCAAAAAACACAAACGCCGGTCTACTTCATCAGCCGAGTCCTCCAAGACACAGAGAAGAGGTACCAAACCATTGAGAAGCTTGTACTGGCCCTTGTCACGACAGCCAGGCGCCTCCGACCTTACTTCCAAAGTCACCAAGTAATCGTCAAGACTGACTACCAAATCAAGCAGATCTTGAGGAAGTCGGAGCTCGCCGGGCGGATAATAGCTTGGTCGGTAGAACTATCCGAGTTTGGCATCCAGTACGAAAGTCGCGGAGCCCTGAAAGCCCAATGCTTGGCCAACTTCGTAGCCGAACTCACTCCTACCTCAGTCGAAGAACCACAGGTATGAATTTTACACGTCGACGGGTCCTCCAACTCCAAAGGTGGTGGTGCAGGTATCATCTTGGAGGGACCAAACCAAGTCACGTTGGAGCAATCACTCAAATTCAGCTTCAAGGTAACCAACAACCAAGCAGAATACGAGGCGCTTCTTGCAGGGCTAAGGTTGACTCATGACCTCGGAGCTTGGAGAGTAAGGTGCAACAGCGACTCGAAACTTATGGTCGAGCAGCTCAGTGGAACATACCAGGCCAATGACGTTCTTCTACAGCGCCATTTCCACATGGCATCACAACAGATCTCGTCCTTTGACGAGTTCACTATACAGCATGTACCGCGAGAACAGAACACCAGAGCTGACCTCCTATCAAAACTCGCGAGCACTAAGAGCCCTGGACAACATCGGACCATCATCCAGGAGAGTTTGCACTCACCCAACCTGGATGACAAGGTCATCACCGCTAGCGACAGTGAAGACCAGGGATGGATGACAGGCATTTGGAGCTACTTGAAGGTAGGAGTTTTGCCCGAGGGCAGGGATGAAGCCAGGAAGATGAGGTTGAGGTCGGCCAAGTTCGTCATCATTGGCGACGAACTATTCAAGCATGGCATCTCCACCCCACTGCTCAAGTGCTTAACTGCACCCCAGGCAGCCTATGTCATCGAGGAGATCCACGGGGGCATATGTGGCATGCACTCCGGGGCACGTTCAATGGCGACCAGAGTACTCCGAGTAGGGTACTACTGGCCCACATTAAAATTGGATTGCCAGGACTACGTACAAAAATGCAAAGAATGTCAGCAGTTCAGCAACTCACATCAGCAGCCACCCAAAACTCTCTACCAAATGATGTCGTCGTGGCCTTTCGCCCAGTGGGGAATGGACATCCTAGGACCATTCCCCCCAGCGAAGGGTCAGCACAAGTTCCTCCTGGTGGCAATCGACTACTTCACCAAGTGGATCGAGGCATGTCCACTAGCTAGGATCACCACTGAGAACATACGGAAATTCACCTGGAAGAGTATCGTATGCAGATTCGGGATACCTCATTCCCTTGTTACTGATAACGGCTGACAGTTCATCGGACAGGACTTCGAGGACTTTCTTCGGGAGCTCGGAGTCAAACATCTTCCGACCTCGGTGGAACATCCGTAAACTAATGGTCAAGCCGAAGCAGCTAACAAGGTAATACTCTGAGAACTCAAAAAGCGCCTCGAGAACGCCAAGGGACAATGGGCTGAGGAACTTCCTAGCATCCTCTGGGCGTATCATTGCACCCCCCAGTCAACCACGCAAGAGACACCTTATAGGCTAACCTACGAGGCTGACGCAATGATCCCAGTGGAAGTCGGAGAGACATCCCACCGACGCCAAGTTTTCAACAGCGAGCAAGACGCTCGAGTTAGCAGCCAACCTCGACTTGGTTGACGAGCTCAAAGACGAAGCTCAAATCCACGAAGAAGCCTGCAAACTCTAAGCTTCCCAAAGATACAATACGCCAGTGCGACCTTGCTCTTTCCGAGTTGGTGACTTGGTATGGCGATTGCTAGGCGAAGCACGGAAAGACACGTCAGATGGGAAACTTGCACCCACCTGGGGTGGCCCATTCCGAGTTACAAAAGACTTGGAAGATGGAGCGTACCGACTAGAAGAGCTCAGCGGAAGGCCTATACTGCGAACTTGGAATGCTACGCATCTCAAGTTTTACTTCAGCTATTTTTTTACGAATGAGTTGTGCACTCTTTTTCCGCCTCAGTCTTTTATCCCAAAAAATAGAAAAATGAGTTTTGGCTGAGAGGGTTTTTAATGAGGCACATACAAATAATCAATAAAATGACTCATTCTGTTCCTTTCATATTCCTTTTTAGTCTCGCATCATTTTATGTTTCATACTAAACACAGGTCGAGTCCGAACCTTGACACAACCTATTTCACTTTACACCGAGGTCGAATTCGAAATTCGGTACAATTTATCTCTCTTTTAGTCAAGGTCGAGTACGAACCCTGAATACGCGGCACCAAAACCCAAGGTCGAGTTCGAACCTTGATGTCATTCATATGAATACTAAAACCCGAGGTCGAATTCAAACCTCGATATAAGCAATGATACTCATATCACACTAAAACCCTAGGTCGAATTCGAACCTCGCTAAGACCAACCAAAGGTCGAGTTCGAACCTCGGTATCATCAGCTCGAGGTCGAGTTTGAACCTTAATAAATGTTACCCTACGACAGATCGGGGTCGAGTTCGAACCCTAACACGATCTATCTCTCTTGAAAGCCAAGGTCGAGTTCGAACCTTGGTCAATTTACGACATTCTAAAGGCCGAATTCGAGCCTAAGAACAAATCAGTTACATCAGGCCAAATTTGAGCCCCGAAAAAACACAAAAATACACAGCAAATGCCGAACGTGTTTTCAAATCGCGAAAACAGGTAAAAACCAAGCCTAAACGTAAAATCAAAGAAAAACGCAATGGCAAATAGAAAAACGCAACGGCAAATAAACAAAAAACACATATATACACAACAATGTTTTCGGAGTTCAACACTTGAATTCAAAGAGCAAAACAAAGTAGAGAAAATTAAACTAAACTATTACAAAAATGGCCTAAGCAGAGGCATTCTCACTTGAGCTGTCCTCGAGGTTGTTCTCCTTCACCAGCTTCCCAAAGCGGACCACTTTCTCCACATGCATGGTGGAGAAGTCGAACCCCGGGGCAAGTAGCCTCGCCTGGCAAGCTGCCTTGAGGAAACCCCTCTTATGCTCAACCAAGATAGACCGCTCGATTTCCTCAAGCTTTTTTTCCAACACTGCCCTCTCCGCCTCCAGCTTCGCAAGGTCCACTCTCAAAGCGGCAACCTCCTCCTCTTTGCCACCGAGAAGGACCTCGTCGCAGAGACACTTCTCAGCCGCCGCCACCAACTCGCCCTTCAGAGATGTCACCTCATCCTCCAAAGAGCGCACCCGACCCCGGGAAGACGTCACCTCGTCTTCCAAAAAGCGCACCCGACCTCGGGAGGAGGCAGCAAGCTCCTGCAGCTCACTCACCTGGGAGGCATAACTCTCGTTGGAACGCAGGGCGATCTCCAGCAATTTCTGGACCCTCGCGAGGTCTCCCCTTGCTGCTCGAAGCTTGGCCCCCTGCATTTTTGCTTCGCCAAGGGCGGCACTCAGAACCTTGTTCTCCTCCTTCAGGACCTTGTTCTCGTCCCTCAGGGGCTGAACTCGGCCCTTCAGCCTCACCAAGTCCTCCTGCTGCTTGGACCACTTGTGCTTCCAGTAATCCACAATGGTCGTGCTCCTCTACAGAAAGACCTGGACAGCATCAAAGCTCCCCACTGGCCTGACTGACTCGATCATAGACTGATTAACCGTGCTCAGCGAGCCCTTGGGGAAGAACTTCTCCGGGGTCACCGCAGCGCTCCACAACGAGTCGATCTCCTCCGAAGCACTCAGATGCTCCAATCGCACCTGCGAGCTCTCTTTCCCGTAGCGGTGCGCGAGATACGGACGCTTCGGGGGGCCCTTCGTAGAGAAGATGTTTGGGCTCCGAAACTTGGTCCCTCCTCGCGAGCCTCAGCAGAAGCAGAGGTAGATGCTCCCTGCTCGGCACTAGAGATACCTACCCCTGGCGCCCCTGAGCTCGGAGTCCCCAAGACCTCGGCGGCTTTGCTCGCCTACAAAAAAAACAACAACAACAACATATCTTTTTAAGATAAAGCTAAAACAAAAGAATGCCACATACAAGGAAGGCCATAGGGTAAAACACCTACCTCAGCAGCATGGGTGACCTCCTCAGTAGCCAGGGTTACCACCTCAGCAGCCTAAGCAACAGGCTCAGCAACCTGCGCCACCCCCTCGGTAGCCACTCGAGAAGCCTCCTCGGGCGGTGGTGTAACATCCCAAATTTTATTCAATGAAAAAGGGTTATT